GAGTTGTTCTAGCACAGGAGGGGTGACACTTCAGAATGCGCTCAAACACACATGCGAACTAGTACCCAACCCTACTAGATATGGTTTAATCTCCATTACTCAACGTTATCTGTACAACGGTGCCTGCTGCACGTAGTTAAGTAGAAGACGGGTTGGAATATCTCTCGCTCCATATAGGTTGGTGTTATCTGACATGCAGTTTATACATATTTATCAGAAGCACGCGATATTTGTAAACATTGTAACCCCTTGTTGTTTTATGGCAGGGAACGATGGATATGTTTTAAAAACATGAACGAGTGCATTGTATTTATGCAAAAGTTCCCAATAGATGTCTTCTTCCGCGAACAGCTGGTTTCATCGCTATTTGATAACGATTCATAAACACGTGTTTAGTCGGAATCGCTAAGTGACGTTTAGCAGAGATTTCTTATGATTATGGAAACTGTTTTGTCGCTTTTATTTGTTTTTGACTGATTGCCGTCAATGGTATACCCTGTACACGTGTGTTGAATTAGTCTGTGAGGCAAGCAGGAACGCCATCTGAGAGGAGTGAGTTCAATTTGATAATAACATTTTATTAATTAGCATCCCTTTATAACTGACATGCCCAATGAATTGGAACATCAGCCTAAAGAATATAATCCAGTTTCTCCCGGAGGAAGGCGTGACACTCTGAAACCGAATTACACGATTCATAAGCGAGCTGGGAGTCATTCCCGTGTTGGTAATATTCTACCATTAGCACGCGGGGAAATATCAGGAATATGCATCACACATTGTACCAATGGCGGGACTCGAACCCGGTCTTCGGAGTGACGAGCGAACGCGTTAACCACTAGGCTACCCACAGCCTCCACATAATTCATGATGCTTTATGGCTCTGTAGTACAATATATATAATTTCCAATGCACGTGTAAAATAAAAACAGGAGAAAGTAAGGGGATATTCAGAACAAGTGATAAAACTAGATATATGTTTTACACGAATTGTAGTTAACAATTTGACAAGTGGCTTGTTGGATTCATTTTGTTGTGATTACGTTTTTCACACAAATTTCAAATTCAATATATAATTCAAATGCCAAAACACAAATACACATTGCGACATTAAAGGTAAGAGTATCATGTTTTTATTCTTGCACAACGCCATACATATACGTCATCACGATAACAGCGCTGCTGTAGTCGGCAGGACAAGCCCAGAGGTCGCCACATGATCCCACGCCAGGAAACCTAGCACTTCAATGTGGATCTCTCATGTATCTAACTACTCCCTTTACAGAGTAGTACTAATTTACCTGGACAGTGAATTCAGTTTTTATTTCAGTAACAAGCTATGTCTGAAGAAAGAACCATGGTATCTAAATAGCACGGTGGTGAGATATTGGGGAGAGAGAAACAGACACTAGTGTTTACTGGCAACAAATCCGGATACTGTTTCCACAAGAAGCAAATGAGGGATGTCGTCAGGATAATCCTAGGCTATTTGTTTTATCCCCGAAGCATTTGATATGGGAAGCTGTTTGTTGACTTTCGAGCAACTGGGATCTGTTAATTGTTAAATATTGTCTGATGCCTGTTTGCCTGTTTACAATCGTGTCTAGATCGTGTTCTGTCAGGGAATATCAATGTTTGTGCAATGCTGACAGAAAAAAGTGCTTTGACAGCTTGTATATTTTAAATTCAAATTTCTGAATATTTTATACATATTGTTATGTCTTAAGAGACCTGTGAAGATCCGGGTTAGAACTGGTCTTCAGCAACCCATGCTTGTAAGACTCGACTATAGGGATCGGGCAATCAGGTTCGCTGACTTGGTTGATGCATGTCATCTTATCCTAATTGCGTAGATCGATGTTCATGATGTCATTCGCTGGATTGTCTTGTCCAGACCCGATTATTAACAGACCGCCGTCATATAGCTGGAATATTGCTCAGTGCGACCTAAACAACAAACAAACAAACAAATCTGGAGCAAGAGATATTGGCGCCTTGAAATTATATCTATTATGTGTGTAGCTCTTACATGTGTCTCACATATGTATCGCTGATATATGTGTCGCTTACATGTGTGTTCTTTTCAGTGTGATACACTGATACCTTTTGATAATATCTGTGATGATTATACCTTTTTGTGTTTTATCGACAACGTTTACTGTCGCGGTGAAACGAATGGTTCTGAACGCTGTCATTGTTTTGTTCAAAGGATGCAGTTGATCAACATCATCACAAACATTCTCCGCAGGTTAAACGTTCATCATCTTTTGAAGAAATATATATTACTCAAAAGAAGATATTTTTAATGTGAAGTTATACAATGTACGACTTTTCCATCGACGACAGGTCGATCACATGACCGCGAAACTGACTTTCATAAGTGTATGAAGGACACATTTTGACGTTCATACGTTTTCACGAGACTGTACATGTATTCTTGAAATGACGTAACCACTGACGGACTACTTGCACATTCCTGTGAAATCCCCTGGGACTTCCCTAGCACAAATAAATACAGAAGCGTTGGTTTTGATCATTTAGACACTTTAATCTTAAACTTACCGTTTTAGCATACAATGGGATAAGTCAGAGAGTTTCATTGCATGCCCGTTCAAGGACATCCCCGCTACGACCAATCCTAGTGAACAAACCGAAGCTCCGGCAGTTTGGCCCTCACTCTTTGAGTGTCCATATTTCATGAACTCACACAAAGTGAAAGTCAATTCTTAAATAAAGAACACCCGATTTGTCATACGATTATACTTAATCTGTCATATCAGATTAACTTTAGTCAGATAAAAAGTTTGGGTGTTCTTTAGGGGATTCTTTCACCAGTACATATAGCTTCTTTATACCATTAGTATTCTTGGATAGTGTGGACGGTGTAGTATGGGGGTGACCCAAAGATCGCGTCAATTATGTGTAAAGCCTAACTCAACGTTATGTTTCAATGTCACTTGATTAAACCTTCTTATGGTTTGATACAGAAAGGGATTGGGTGCGAGTGTGAATGAGTGTCTATGCTAATATCCAATTACAAAAACACACCCGAATACTCATACATGTAATTGTAACTTTACTGATAGTATCAACATGCATAACTATAGCTTCAAGAACTTTAAAAACCTTCTTTGTGTTTTCTAGAATTGCCTTTCCTTACTTGGGCCAGGCTATACCCTGGGTGTCATGTCTTATCTGTAACTTGGGCTCAGACATTAAATATCAATTACAGTTGAACACGGATATAACGAACTACTCTTTTCTCAGTTCGCTATACACGTCACTAATTAGTGATAGATGGGCTTGTCGGTGATAAGATATCAGTTCGCTGTATCCGTTAGTTCGCTGTAGAGAGTTCGTTATATACATGTACGTAAACTTTATATGATATTGTACAGGAGATAAAATCGGGGATTTTTTAACAGTTCGTTGTATCCGTTTGTTCGCTATATCCGTGTTCGTTATATCCGTGTTCGCTATATCCGTGTTCGTTATATCCGTGTTCTACTGTACAAAACAATAATATGTAAAGCCTAATCATTCACTTACCTGATCACTTCCTCCACAATTGTATTATAGATCAGACATGACTGCAAGTTGTTTGTTTAATGTTTGCACTTACACATTATCCTTTATTTCACATCGTCTACGCAAATCTGTGTAACTAAGCTATGAAATATCCATTCAAGTAACGATACATAATTCAACAGGGCAACTACAGAAGTGTAATAATAGATATTCCCTATTACATGTACACTCGAAGAAAACACGTCTTGAAACGTCTATTCATGTACGCTTTCAACGAAAGTGTTGCCTTGTGAATACACCATTCATCCGTATGTGCTGTACAAACAACCTCAACACAAGATATCAAGGGCTTTCGTGATATTTACCCAGGTGTCAAACAATATACTACAGTTTGAGAGCCGTCTTACTGGATAGAAAGGCATTCCAGTTGAACTCTAATCTGCCCCTTTTTAATTCTAGTTTGGTCGTTGATTGTGATTTATTTACGCACAACTTGCTACCACCTAGTGAATGTCATTGATAGCAACCCTGGCTTGTCACGGCGATAAAAGATCGTTTTTCAGCATCGCCCAAATTTTCACAAGCTTGTTCCTTTTATAGTCTTCTACAGTGTCTGACACTTCTAGAGAGCTGAGACAAGCGGTGAATTGATAAAACGCTAGCAGTGCCCCTCCTGCTTATTACACAGTGCTAGGGTAATATTGTGAATCATGGGTATGAAATGTTGCCGAACGTGTGTTAAATTGGCATGACGGCCTTGGGCGGTTGTAACAGATTAAACAGAATAGGACCAAACAATATGTTGGTTTGAGTTATACAAGGAGATATTCCAACACATATGGTTTCAGAGCAGTTAATGTTTCGAGTTGAATATTTGATTAGCAAAATGCAACATAGAGTCGTTGGTGTGAAGAATAATCATCAAAGGTTTGGTGTTAGTGAATATGTTATTAGCACCTTCAGCAATGCGTCTTGCTTCCTGCTTTTTGATGTGAAGAGTAACCATTAAATGGTTGGTGCTAATGAATAATAAATATGTAATTAGCAAATTTGGCAATGCTTCTTGCTTCCCATTTCGTAAAGATGGACGTGGCCTGATGTGTTTAGAATAACATATCTTGTTCTGTTGAAACTATTTATCTTATCAAAATTTGCAAATGAAATATCTGTTAGACAAGAAGTTATTTTTTGGGTTAAAACCTTGGTTTTAATCTTCATTATAGCAACTAATATGCGGAAGCGAAACTTAAGCCATATTATACTTATATAACGAACACAAAATGCAATTTTTAATATTGAAACAATTTAATACACACAATGCTACATATTATTTATGTTATATATAATACTATAATATGTTTTTGTTTATTATGCCACTGACACAATCACAAACAATATGATTTAAATAACAGGTAATAATTATGTGTACTATTTGGTACAGTTTCGCTTCTAATATAACTGTTTACTTTCAGAAACAAGTCGATGGATTCACCAGTCAGGAACGCCTCCTTTGAAAGATTATCATGGATCACAATATACGTCATCGCACAACAGAGCATCACCGTATATAACTATGACGTCAGTTCCGGTTCAGACGCCATTCACCTCATCCGTATCATCCTCAATATCTACCACGACTTCTACCTCGGCAAATCAACCAATCGTGCCATCTACAACATATCACCAAGCAAGTGCAACAAAGGTGATCTCTCCGAGGTATTCATATAATCATACAAATTTAAGGACAACAGATCCCATAATCAGTGACTCAGCATCAGATTCGTCCACCCATACAGCACCTGCAATGCAATTTTCAGACGTCGCACAAACCAAGCTCCACCTCCAAAGCTCCATGGTTGCAGAGGAATATGGTATGGATACACTTGGCTCAAGTCAAGCTGCCAGTAGTGGAACTGTGAATACCGAAACAATGAATAATCTTTTCGAGACGTTCTTGGAAACTGTAGCAGACAGTTCGAAAGTAAAGAACCATCAGACACAAAAGTCTACATCTTCTGTATCAACGTTTGACATTTTAAGAGACTATAACTTCACAGCTTCACAGATAGCTGATTGGTTTGAGTCTGGCATCTCCAAGTCCAAGTCTAAATCAAACACTACATCAGCATCAGATAATTCTGCCCAAACTGACAAAGACATTATTGATCCCCAAAGTAATTCTGCACAAAGGTCTTTGCATACTTCTACATACTCCAAAGGTAGTGATGACATGCCTGGAACTCCTTTGTCATTACTCACAACCCCAACCAGCATTAGTAACACGATACAAAGTGCTGACAGTAGCAGATACTCGTCCAGCGACTTTATGTTCACAAATGTCGCGAGCATGGTCAAGAAAACCGATTCTATCAAATATTCATCAGCGTCAGATTTCTTAGTAACGTATTCTCTTATAAATGTATTCAAGGCGCATTCAGATGACGAGGGGGTCACACAAACGACCAAGGGAACCAATTTAGCAAACACTACGTCTCTGTTAGGTAATACATCACTTTCCCATACGACACAGAGAGAAAGTGTATCGCAAACTAGTGATTTGGACAAAAGTAAGGAGTCATATTTAGAAAGGGATCTTCAAAAGTCTTTACAGTCACCCCTATCGTCTTCAGCACCACCATCTACAGAAAATACAGAAGTTATAAAGACACTATCTCTTCGATCACAATTTATGAGTGAAACAAGCAGCCATAAATTGAGTACGAAATCATATGAGGATCCTGAGGAGAGGCCTGGGGAACAGACACCTTCTGTATCAGAGTTAAGTGAGAATCATGTCAGTGTTTCCAAAGTGCAGTCAGAAAATGCCAGGTCAGCGTTTTCATCCGAAACAGGGAGAAACATGCTATCAGTTACATCCTCGAGAACTCTATTTACTGATGCAACGAGAACCCAGAGCTCAGATATTTCATCTATGTCTCAAACAAGTGGTGCTGGCTTTCCAAACATCGTTACAGATCTGCGCGCTTCCTTTCAGCCAGATAAAGGTGATTTACAAACTGGATTACACAGTACAGACAGAACGACAAGGCTTTACAGGTCATCAGCTGTAGAAGAAACATCATGGACAAGCTTACCGCTTGAGTCTTCTGGCACTTTTATATATTCATCCAGCATGGCTCCTCCAAAAATTTCTCAAAATGTTTTGTCTACGAATCCAATATTACTTTCGTCAGAGTTAAGTCCCTTTCTCGAAGTTCCATCACCATCTCAATCACCATTACTATCCACAAGCATCAATATAGATCTTCCACTATATTTAGCTCCTCAGCGTGATAGCTCCCTTTCATCTCTGCTTAAAAACCTGGATAGCCACTCCGTATCACAACAATTGCTATCAGAGACCAGTAACAACATCAGTAGCTCTGTTGGAGTCTCAGTCTCTCAAGAAGATGCTTCTGTAATTTCAAGCTCTGGGAGTGCTATTGTAACGGATTCATGGAATCAACCCGTTGTTAAAATGAGTGAAATTGCATCATATTCCAGTGTGGGGATCGTCAGTGACATTAAACCATCTGCCAGTAATAAGAGAACATTTGCTAGTACCCTGTTGATTGATTACAAATCTATTTCAGCGAGTGACATGACAAGACAATTAAGTAATCAGCCTATTGGTGACAATGTCATTTTTACACGTCCTAGTGTTACATATTCCAGTGATCAGTCCGTTAAGATGTCAAGTAACATAGCTATATACCCCAGTCACCTGCCTGTCAGTGATATCAAAATGACTGCAAATGAAGTGGAATCATCTTCAAGTATAGTACCCAGTGATGTCAATACAGTATCAACAGTTGTTGTGACTACATCTTCCAGTGATCTGCCAATCGAAATCAGTACAACGACTGCAAGGACTTTCGAAGGTTATTCCAGTAATCCACTAGTCAGTGACATCACAGTGTCGTCATTGGTAGCACAATTACTTGCACCCACTTCAATGGAAATGCATTCATCTGAATTACATTCTAAATCAAATGCTGAACCATTCTTGCAAATGCCATCTATTTCCATAAACATCAAGACAAAACATTCCAAGAAGAAAGGTAGCAGTGGGGACATTCACAAAGATTCCCCTTCAGCTGTGTCTACAGCACACGGACACAGCACAACCTTTATAAGGAAAGAAGATACTCTTCAAACAAGTGTCAATCCATCAGTAGGTACCATGCATAACAGCATGTCTGCACCCGATTACACAGAGTCACGCAATGCTGCTGCTAAGTATATCAAGTCAAGCTCAAGTGCAACAACACCTAATGATTACAGTTCGACGGACACGGGAATAGATACAGTGGGTTCCAGTCTAGCTGACTCCAGACTTTCAGGGCACCAGTCAAATGGAATTGATCCCTTTCGCGCAACTACTACTTTCACTGACAATACTGACCCCAGTGCAACAGCCCCTCTGGATGCTGACATCATAGTCCCATATGCTGCCACTACTAGAACTGACAATACTGGCCACAGTGCAACAGCCCCTCGTGATGCTGACATCATCGTCCCATATGCTGCGACAATGAGGTACGCGCCAATCAGTAGAAATGAGTATATCCTTGGTGCAGAAAGTTCGTCTTTTTATACATCATCGCCTGTGGAAGATTATCAATCACTAAAGGCTCAGATTACCAAATCGAGCCGAACCATTGAGGATGCTGATGTTACGTTATATTCAATTGTTGATTCATCACACAACGTAAAACCCCAACCAGCCGTGACAGGATCTCAAGCCAGTATGTGGCCTGCAATATCTGACAGTGCAATTCCTAAACAGCCAGCTACTCAGTGGCTATCTTATGTCAATTCTGTCGGATCCAGCGGAGGTGGTGACCCGACCGTACACGAAATATACAGACTGACATCTGATATCGGTATGGATGTGTTGGATACCCAACAGCCGTCTTCCATCTATCAACATACAGATCAACCTGAATCAACCCAATTCTACCCAGAGGGAATGGCAGGTGAATCCATTAATTCAGCATTGCCTAATATAGGAATGCAATCTCATAGTGGTTCCATACCATTATCGACATCACTCAACCAAGGCTCCTCCAAAACTACTGCATCTGTGAAATCCAATGCTGACCTTCTCATGTCTACAGATATGATTGTTAGTAATTCAGACATGGACCAAATCATGGAACAATCGTTGATTCTAACAGTTAAACACGTTGCAGACAAGAAGGAACCTTTGAGTTCAGATGCTATTTCCGCAACAGTAACAATAGATTCAGAAGTATCTCAATTCCAAAGCAGATCTGACATGGCTTCACTGTTGCCAGAGGGCTTACCTTATGAAAGCGCTTCACCAGGTACCACTGGATATCATGACCAAGACTTTGGTTCGCGTCTCTATACTGAGAGTTACCGAATTACGTCATCTTCTGCTTTGGTGTTAGGTCAACCTCAGCACAGCACATCTTCAGGCCATATCAGAAGTACGACTCCTCTTCTCCACACAAGCAAAATTCTTGAGCCAATTGCTACTTCATCGCAATATATTAATTCAATTTCAGACACCTTCTTAAAGGAACATCCTTCCTCACAGATTAGTTATGATGCCATTGATACACCGGAATCCTTAGGATCTAATGTTGAAAGCAGTGATGTGCAAATTTTCACAACTGTAATGGAAAGAGAGATTCTCTCCACAAAGGATTTGTCTATATACACACCACATGCTTCCTCATTACCAATAAGGCCCACACAAAGTATCAGAGGGACTCAACTATTGTCAGAAATGAGCAGCAACAAATTAACCTCAACAATTATGAAGTCAATATTTCCAACAACATCAACATTAATGACATCATCAGCTAACCCACAACCAACTGTTGGTAATCCCACACAAGACCCTGAAACAGAATCACGAGAAAGTGACTTTATCCTAAAGTGGGTGTTCGATCCCAAGGGAGAAGATGTAACCTCTGCAGAATTCCTGGCTAAAGTAGTAAAAGGTAAATACTTGATGCTTTTTTCCCGTAGAAGAGGCAAAGTACTTCCTGTTATATCAAAACTATCATTGCAATCCAACTACAAGTGATCAAATAACGATGACATAGTTTTTTCAACTATCACTGGAAGTTTCACATGTCTTAATGTTGATTTCTTTCTCAAGTTAACATATTCATAATTTCAGGTCTTGAGCTGTCATACGAAAAGGGGTTAAAGCGTCAAGTGAATGTTAGGTTGCGAAGAGACACAGTAAGCACAAGTAACGTCAATGTACAGGTGAGTACATATTGCTATTGGAATATAATAATGCGTGACTTAAACGTTATGTAATGTCCAGTCCTTTACCTTAGTTTCGTAATGAAAATGAGACACAAAGAGAGATCATGAACAACAAGTTTGGACAGACTTGCCGTAAGATGATTTTTGTCACTGAAATAAAAGCTGAAGGACTGTGTCTAGGCTATACAAACTGTAACTTATTAAAATCCAGGTTAGACTTGGTCTTCAGAAAACCATGCTTGTCATAAGAGGTGACATTTCTTGTTGTAAGAGGCGACTGACGGGATCGGATGGTCAGGCTTGTTGACCTGGTTGATGTATGTCATCGTATCCCAATTGCATAGATCGCTGCTCATGATATCAATCACTTGATTGTCTGGTCCAAACTTGGTCATGTACAGACCGCTGTTATACAACTGAAACATTGCTGCGTGTGATGACATAAAGTCAAACATGTGACCGAACCTCACCACCTGATCCAATATAATTGCCTTTTACCACAAGCAATAGCGTTCTGTGGACCTATTCTATCCTGGGTTTCCTGATTGTTCAGACAGCAACAATGTTTTTATCCATAAATTTCTATTCCTATTCCTATCACAAACATATAAGTGTACTATATTTGTGATCATGTGGTGATGTGTGATATATATTTAAAATCAACTGTTTCTTTATAGATAAAGAGTACCAAACCTCGGTCGGACGGTAGTATGGAGATGGAGTTCACAGTCATCAGAAATGGACAAAAGGTTCTTGCCAAGGATGCAGAAGTTACCTTCAACAAAATATCCTCAGAAGAACTCAATCATTATACTGGAGTGAAGGTAGAATTTGTTTAGGCTACTGTTACATTCCATTACCACACAGTTACCTAGATTTTCATATCTCTCACAAATAGCTGTTCAAGTCTCATAATGTCTTCAAATACATTCTATTTCCAAGTGTGAGAGAAATCTGTGGGCAGCTACCAGTAAGAGAAATGTGAGAGCAATGTCGCATTACAAATCTATAATATGATCCACTAGATAATCGAGGATGTGTATTTATATGTGCTGAGATTCAGCATTTATCTCCAAATCTTTGCCTTTTCAGAGTCTTGGTATGATGGGGTTAACATCACTGCAACAAGAACAAGTCTTAGTTAATGATCTCTCTGCCTCTGGCAAAGAGGCCCAGCGAAAAAGTAACATTAACTCAAACACTAATGATGTTCCACAGCCTGGCACTTCTGCAAGGGATGCGATGGCGACTGTGGAAACAAAGGACAGTCGTGGAGATGTATTAATCCAGTCAAAGACTACTGAGATGCCGGAGAGAAGTCCTAGTGCAAAGCTTATAAGCATGGTTGCTGCAGCACATGCTACAACTGACACACAAGTCAGTGGTCATGTCATGACATCTATAGATAAATATCAAAGATCTGTATCCAGTGCCTTGTCAAATGATGTCATAATAGAAATGGTAATCATATCCAATCAAAGGCAGCCTGAGTTCTCAAAAGAAATGCAGTTAGTATCATCAACTGATATTAATAATGGATTCCAACAGAAGAGCATGGAGTCTAGTTTATCCACTACCAGGCATATTCACTCAAGTGTAACTCTGAGTGAAAGTTCATTGATGTCTGAGGATACAACATATTATTCCGTTTTAGAGCAAGTCACAACACCACTTGGATCAGAATTGCGACCATCTTCTGGAGAACCTTCCCAATCTTTAGATCATGATCACCAGGCTACAGTGTTTACACCTCTAGAAACCGAGAGACACACAAGCTTCCCTAATGCTGTTGCTGCTTGGGATGACAATCTGGTCACAACGTTTGATAATGAAAGATTACCGTCCACTCCCCTCTACAATGAATCACCCTTGTCAGGGATAGATGAATCAATGACCCCAGATGCGACAGTAAACGAACTGATTCCTAAAAACATCTCACTAACCAGTACTGAGCTATTTCTTACATTGGCCACAAATGATCCTCAACTGTCTTCTGATACAGCTAGTGTCAGATCATCTTACGAGCTATCATTTTCATCGTCACTTAATCACAAGTCTGCCACAGCATTTATCCAAGCAACACCAAAGATGACATCATCCCATAGGGTGCCGTTGAAGCCAATAACATATCTATCATCCAGTGTTTTAGACTCCCAGAATTATATACTGAAATCTGCATCCTCGTTGGCAACCCAATACTCTGAAGAAACGTCTCCCTCAGACATGATTGATGCTTTCCCATCATTTTCAACTGGCATGGATGCTTTTGCGTCATCAACAGGTAAAGTGTCGCTGTCTATCAACGTCGGAATGAGCTCCAAGATCAAGTCTGACCACATAGTAACAGAGAATCAGACAGAGACGTTATCCTCGTCCATGTCTTCTGATTATGGATTTGACACATTATTTGACGCCTCTGGGCATAAGTTGGAGACATTTGTATCTCATACATCCTCTTCCACATATATGAATATAACACGGTTCTCTCCAGCAAACAGAAGCAATGCAACGAGAACGGATTCATCTTCACCAGGACAGCAATCGCCTTTCGATACAAGGACGGACTCTGAAGACATGTCTTCATTTCCATCCGTGTTTGAAGATTTATTTAGTGCTGACTCGTCAAACGTTGCAATATCATCTTCCGTCACTGGTGTAACTCCTACATATGAGATGGGTGAATCAGCATTAAACTCATTGAGTGAATCAGTAGCAAACGCATTAGAACCAGACACGTTGCAGTTTTCATCAAATGATGTCCTCGCATCTTATTCTACAGGTCTAGCTATAAATCCAACATCAGGTGCATTTACGAATGAATGGAGTTCAAGAACAGGATCTATAGACTCAAATATACATGGAACAGAAACCATGCATATTACTGGAACCATGTTGCCTTCAAGTCGACTGAAATTCTCTATGAAAGCTTCCATGTTGTCTCCAGTAGACTCTCAGCGCACACTTTCACAGATGTCATCGAGTATGTACACTGATGACGCTGCATCTGTCTCAGTCATAGCATCAATGTCACAAGGAACAGCTTCATTGCAAAAAGAAACATCATCAACTTCACGTATATTCGTTGATGCCTTTAGCTTAATTACAGCACCAACTCCAGTTGAGACAGCTTTCTCTACACCAGTCAGTAGCACAAAAGGTGCTATTCCCAGTACTGTATCATCACCTCCTGATTTGAAGATCTCACTATCAAGCAAGCCAAACATTCTATTACATTCCACTTCATCATCCGAAGAATCGTCTCCGATATTACCCCTTGAAACATATCGAGTATCAAGTGTGGATGTATCAGAACCACCGCCCATCCTGTTGTCTGGTGAAGAAGAGTCATCTGGGTATATCATATCCTCTAAATCTTTCACACATGTACCAATGACAACCTCGCGTGCAACTCCCACAATATATGGAACGAATGTCAGATATTCCTCGTTTCAAAAGTTGTCATCAATAACGTCTGCAGTGTCTAGTTTACCAGCCATGGATTCCGTAACAGATATCTCATCTTTTGAATCCTCAATAATGTCGATCATGTCGTCTACCAAAACAATGACTTCTTCCTCAGTGTGGACAGTGTTATCGGTATCTACTTCACCTTTAACAAACACTAAAATATTTCCCTCTTTGTCAACACTGGCCCTGTCCACTGAGGAGTCATCATCTATATCTACAATATCCTCGTCTACTGAAGGGTCATCGCCTATATCTACAACGTTCCCATCTACAGAAGGGTCTCCGTCTTTATCTGCAATGACCCCGTCTACTGAGGCGTCATCGTCTTTGTCAACAATATCCCTGTCTACTGAAAGGTCATCGTCTTTATCAACAATATCCCTGTCTACTGAAAGGTCATCGCCTATATCTACAACGTTCCCATCTACAGAAGGGTCTCCGTCTTTATCTGCAATGACCCCGTCTACTGAGGCGTCATCGTCTTTGTCAACAATATCCCTGTCTGCTGAAAGGTCATCGTCTTTATCAACAATATCCCTGTCTACTGAAAGGTCATCGTCTTTGTCAACAATATCCCTGTCTACTGAAAGGTCATCGCCTATATCTACAACGTTCCCATCTACAGAAGGGTCTCCGTCTTTATCTGCAATGACCCCGTCTACTGAGGCGTCCTCGTCTTTGTCAACAATATCCCTGTCTGCTGAGGAGTCATCGTCTTTATCAACAATATCCCTGTCTACCGAAGAATCATCGTCTTTATTTACAATGTCCCCGTCCTCTGAGAAGTCATCGTCTCCTACATTTCTCCTGTCTCGTGAAGGATCTTTAGTTTCATCTCCAGCGCTACTCTCTACAGAAAGGTCATCATCCACAACAATCTTTCTACCTCCATCTCGAACACCTTATTATGAACATTCTTCATCAATGTCAACAAACTCGGACATTAATTCCTCTCCTGTGTATCCAACAGTGACTTTATATTCACACGAGTTGACACAATCGTCATCTACAGCAACACTTCGACCTACAAAGGCCTCATCTGCCTTAGAAGCATCACTTTCTGAACATAACACGGGTTCACAGCCCTCGTCTAAATCAGTTCTTCCTTCGATTCTGATTGCAATATCTTCATGGCCTTCATCTCCAGGAGGTCCTTCAGCTTCAGCCACAACAGCTCTTCCAATCAACCCATCAACTCCAGAAATGATTTCAGCTCCAACCACAACAGCTCCTCCCATCAACCCATCAACTCCAGAAAACATATCACCTACAATAACAACAGCTCTTCCCATCAATCCATCAACTCCAGGAGAAACTGTAGTTTCAGCCACAGCTCTTCCTATCAAATCATCAACTCCGGGAAAACCTTCAGTTTTACCCACAAGTCACCCCGTCAACCCATCAACTCCAGGGCTTTCAGTTTTAGCCACAACAACTCTTCAACTAAACTCATCATCTACAGGAGAAACTTTGGTTTTAGCCACAACAGCTCTTCCCATCAACCCATCAACTACAGGGGGACGTTCAACTTTCGCCACAACAACTCTTTTCATTAACCCACCATCTTCAAGAGAACCTTTCACTTCAACCACAATAACCCTTTCCACCAACCCATCTTCATCGCCACCAACAATTCCTACATCTGAGCCAACCATGTCTACAATGCCAAGTTCGGTTCAACAACCAGACCCTGAATCTTCAACCATCCCTGTTTTCTCTACCGCTCACCCTGACTCATCTTCACCACCCCCCACAACTACTCGTCCTGCAAACGGCCCCCCTGTTGATACATTGATGCTGCTAATTATGAACATAGGCCTTGATGTCAACATATCGAGCACACAGTTCAGCCGCCAGCTGGAGAAAGGTATGGTTCTTACCTAATTGAATCTATATACATAGAATCTTACTCGAGTGTCCTTAATATCAAATATATATACACGAGCCGATAGACGTTACAAACTCCGTGGCTTGAGGTTGAATGTTAAAATGTTGTTGACGAGTATTGGTATATGTGATAGAAAAAGACATAAAGTGGGATTAAATTATCATCCAAATTAATTTTTCCAATTTTCCCAGTTTGTAAACAGTAATAAACAGTGACTTCAGTACATCTATCCAGCTTCAGTGAGAGAGACATCAGTGACGTCATTTGATTGAGGTGTCATCTGCAAAATCATTGGGATGCAGTGTCATTGAAGTGATATCTCCAAGGAGACATGGCTTGATCTCACAACACTTTGTCATTGTGTCCTGCGGAAGCCAGTTTTTGAATGATAAATCGCCTTTAATGAATAAATGATAATGTATATGGAAAGAGAGATCATCTCATGTATGTGGACGGTAGGATGGCCTCGTGCTTAAAGCGTTCGCTCGTCACGCCGAAGCCCCGCATGGTGATGTGTAGCTCATTTCTGGTGTCCTCCGACGTGATATTACTGGAATATTGCTAACAGCGGCGTAAAACCAAACTCATTCACCCTCTTGTATGTATGATTTCGCATTCAGATAATGTCCCCAGTGCCCCAAGCTGGTTAGAATGGAGACCAGTCAGATAATGTGACCGTGTCATCATATCCTTGTGGCATGGATCATACTTTCGGTCACTAGTTTGCCTGGTGCAGACTCGATTTTCAACAAGCCACCGATATAGCTCCAATATTGCTGACAGCGGCGTTTAACAACATTCTCTCACTAACTTACATTGATGATAGCTTCAGAATATATGCCTTGATACATAATTGCGGATTTGAGTTTCTGCGCACCAATGATCATGATTCGAGATTTATCAACACACCATCCGTAGCCCAGGGTTTCTCTGAAGTAAACACTTCTGGCTTTTCTCACACATTAAGCTCTCCAGTTAAAACTGAATACTGCTAAAAGCGACTTCAACACAACCCACTCACTCATTCCAGATCTGGCCGAGTTGTATGAAACTGCCCTCAAACAGCGGAGAAGACGAGATGTTACAGAGCGGCTGGACAGATACAGGCGTCAGAGTGGCGTTAACGCTCAGGTATACATCGTGTACATTCTGGAGACAAATGTTTATTATTTGGAGTTATTCAGACATTCGTCTTTAGTGTTTATTCAAAAGAGGCGTTTGATATAGGATTAACGGAGCTTACGTGTGAAACATCGCCGGTCCAATTCAATTTCAGCGCCGACATGTTTGTTTAGTCACATTCCTGCAAAGCGACCCTATTTGATTTAGAAGTGATGATGTAGAAATGTTCAAGTTTTTAATTCATGTCGACATGTCGAATGCCTAAAATAGCATGACACTTGAGATACTTCTGTCCAAGACAATAATATGATGTGTGATTTGCAAAAAGCAGATGTTTGTATTCATTCGAGGAATATCAGATCCTGATTCAAGGAAGTAGTGTTTTTACTCTTCTCTTGATTGTTTCTTTTAATGAGCCCTTTTGGAGACTTTTGACTCGTCAAACGAAAGGTCCTATTATTGTGTGAATATTCATAATCAGAACATGAAACATTTTCAAATCGTATATCTTAGTGTGAGATAAATAAATGACATTCAGTGATATGGTTCTAATGTATTGATTAGTCCAGTTGATCACGAATATACAATAAACTTGTTGATTTTACAGCCGTGAAGTACCCTGTGTATGTTAGACGGACACCTGAGAAAAGCAGATTTGAAAGTGATTTTTCGTTCATTTTTTACCTTTGTTCACTTAAGAATTGACGACAATATTTAAAAAAAAAGGTGAGCACACTGTTAATACGCCTAGCGTAGCGGATATACGCAAAGTGTACACAACGGTGTATACGATTATAACTCCATTATCGCAAAACATTGAAGTCAATTGAATTAACTATTAAAAGAGTGTCAGGTACAACGCAGTCACCGCGAGCTCACCACCTCGATCGTTAGCTGTAATTTCCTCGACATTGTGTCAGTAGTCCGACACGAGTTACCTCCCATGCTACCATTTCTCGTCAGGCAATTCAATATTAACATAGAGAAACATGTACTTGAGGTCTCTTCCACCTACATAACGCCATGTAGTAGTGAGATGTTACCCAGTATCACCCAGTTGAAATACATGCAAAATTATTGAATATGGATATTAAGTGTGAACATTTAATATCACAACAAAGAGACTTGTTTTCAAACAAGTAATGTTTAATCATAGCAGGAGAACAACAAATGCGAAATTAGATGCACAAGCCCGACGCCCTCATGTTTTTGCTAACGCTGGCTCGTCGTCTTTCACTGTGAAACAGAAAATGAGAACAAACAAGATTTTATTGTAAAAATGAACTTTGTCTGATATATATGTATGATGTATATAATAATAATGTTGAACTCGTCGTTAAACCAAATTTCACCTCACCAAATTCCCTTCAGCGCAAATCTACAAGTAACATAGCTCTGCGCAGCATGTTAATCACCTAATTAGTAAAATTACGTCACATTTGAATAACCTCTGCTTTTTTTTAATTACCTCGCATACCACTATTGAGTGTTGATGTATATCCATGTAATAACTACTTTTATTTCCCATAGGGTTATGAAATACCGAGTTTATAAAAATCGTTTGTACCCTGGTTCAAATGTCACTTAACGCGCACAAGTGCATTATGTACGTCATCCGGACGGCATTGTTAGGTGAGGCGATGTCTATACATGCCACGATTTACATAGTTTTCAGTAATTTCAGCAATTAATGAACACAACACCTCCGTTTCAGGTGGTTTCGAATGAAAGAGATCCGGGTGATGATTTCAAGGTGACGACGACGTTTGCCGTGAGTGATGGTGGCGACTTCGTGACGGCCGACGTCGCTGTCCCCGTCTACAACAGGATGTCCCAAGAACAGATCTCTACCGCTCTCGCCCATTCCGTACGTCAACGTTGTTACGGGTCATCAACATACAAAAATTGATATTTTAATTTTCATGTTACGAGCTGAAAGGGCTCTTAAAATCCCAACATCCAGTCAGTAGCAGATGTGGCAAATTTAGAGTTACGGGCATCATAAAGAGTGCACACAAGTTACAAGGAATTAGTTCAGTGACATATTTGTAGGAGACGATCTTGTTACCGCCATTGGACTCGTATGTTCTTTTGTTTGCTTCTTTGACTCCGCACTCAGCAATACCCCAGGTAAATGTATGTGAATCAGAGCTGTTAATTATCGAGTCTGAGCCAGACAAGCCAGTGATTGACATCATGAGCATCTATCTACGCAACTTGGGTATGACATGCATCAACAAAGTCACCAAGCCTTACACACCGATCCTGTTAGTCCCCTCTTTGGGGTTGCTGAAGACCCCTGTTTAAGACCAATTCCAGCCCGGATATCCACGGGTCATATATTTAGTGAAGATTACGGTATCAAAAGAACAATTCTAACCCGGATATGGTTATACGAAGTATTCACGTTGTCAGTGACCTGACAAGCAAGTTCCGTCACGTCAAACGTTATGACGTCATGATGTCTGTACAGGCGGGGAGCTGTCTTATAAGGTAGCTAGTTTAGTACGGTTGAGACAGAGGTCCAGATTAAATATATTGAAGCAGGCGTTACGTCTCTTGCTGTCAGGATAATAACACTCAAGATCGAGGACACGTCTACGTGTACATGTATATTGCCTGTATCTACATGTACCAACGATGTCAACGCATTGCTTCAAATAGGTATCCTCACAAACTTGGAAAAAACCTCGTAATTCATTCCGATTGGTTACTGGTGGCTGATGACTAGTTTAACCATTTTAGTTGTATCTCCAGTGTTTAAAATCTTTTTTGCTGACGGACGGTCAGTTTTGAAACGTTGCACGCCCGATGGTCGGGCTATTATTGCGTTCCCTAAATTACCTAAGCATGCTAGTTTTAATCTAATATAAGAGGTAAATGAAATGTGAATGTTCAACACATTTTTCAGTCACTTCCGCGTATGTTGATTTCTGTCCTAATACTATTTTTATGTTTACCCTTTTATGACTTGTGTTCGTTAGCAATTCGCTGTGCAGAGTTGCGTCCCTTTGGCACGCCAGAAAGCTATGATTGTGGCTTCGAATCCCGGTTCGCCCCGATTATGTTTCTAGGTTTGTCAGCACCATACCCGTGCTCGTGGGTTTCACCGAAGTGGTAAACGTCTGAGACCTGCATCACTTCGGGCTTTCCTCCCACATTAAGCTGACACGTCGTGATATAACTGGAATACTGTCAAATGCGGCGTTAAACCAACTCACTCACTCACTGTGTTCGTTAGTCTAGACAATTCTGGGCAGGCAACATTTTATCTGGTCTGGTAGCTTTGACTGAAATTTTGGTGAATTTTATACACTGATATCTCAAAAGACAAACCTCATTTACCAATGAATGTGTTACTTCCAGGTGCTTGAGCCAATCACGGCCGCCCAGACATCTAGTAGACCCCAACTTGAAGACAAGAATGACACTAGCTACATTTTGATCCTCTGCATCGTGATTCCTGTAACGCTACTGATCCTTGCCGTCTTGTTCCTTGTTACCCGGATGAGGCGAAGACGAAGGGCTAACGCAGTTGGGGACCTCCCGCCTCGATATCAGGTATGTTTGGCCCGACACAACAGACAGTTTACAAGCTCACGAAAGAAATCATTGATATATCCTCGTTATAAGTTATATGCACGTGATTGGGGGTTCTGGTTTGATATTTCAATCACATATAATGAAGGCGTACAACAATCTGCTTCTGCTACTGCCATGTTGGTTAATCAAAAACTAGAAATTCACTAGAAATGAGCACTTATCATAACGTCATCCGTCTTTTAGATTAAACGTTGTTACAAAACAACCTGTGTTATGAAACCATGGGACTCGGACACATCAGTCAGATGACCGACAGTTTTAAACACGATTACACTTTCTTAGTAAAGTTATTTTAGCGGGGTCCCATTCGGGATGGGAAACCACACACTCATCTAAACGTCAGCACAGAATCTCTGCCCCCCCCCCCCCCCGGTCGGGTAGCCTAGTGGTTAAAGCGTTCGCTCGTCACGCCAAAGACCCGGGTTCGATTCCTGACATGGGTACAATGTGTGAAGCCCATTTCTGGTGTCCCATGCCGTGATATTGCTGGAATATTGCTAAAAGCAGCGTAAAACCATACTCACTCACTCATACACTCCACGATATGGAAGTCCGACAACTGGTAGTATATATTACTTACTTTGTGTACCCATCCCTGGACTCCACCCAAACAAAGCACAATAATTTGTACTTTACAAAATAAATGCAATCCTAAATACAACATATGTTACATTTGATCATGTTCTAAAACTCATTGTCTATTCACAGTTTAAACATGCCTCAAAGATGATTACTATTATTATGCCTCTAAGATGAACTACGTTCTAATGTTATTATAGAGAGGAGAAACCCTTGAGGATCACAATCTAACGGTTGACGTCGAAAAGGGGGAAATTGTGGACAAGACCCCAGCCAGCACTCCATGCCTTACCCCCCGGTCGAACTCCTCCACCTCGAAGAAGGTGCCCTTGCTGGGTGGTGTGTGTGTGCTGCCCGGTGTTGGCGATGGGGACGGACTGCGGAGGCAGGACTCGGACAAGTACCGGGAACTCACGGAGACGGACTACTCCGAGCAAGTGCTCCTGGCCGACCAGGAGAAGGGCTCACACAGAAGCCTCATCCTCAGAGAGAAGGAACTCCTGGAGAAGCTTGGGGTTCATGAAATTCAGAAGGAAGTAGATTCCTGTGATGAACAAACCTTGGAACTACCCCGGAGAACCAGATCCAAAAAGGGGAAAGGGAAGGCTGCGTCCTCCCAGTATAACACCGTGGGAAGTGAATGTCCTCTTCTCCCTTCGTCCGGTTCCATGACAACGGTCAGCTCTATTGACAGTGGTGACCACACCGATGCATCTGACGAATTCACTGTTATTATACCAAAGACAAAATCTCCTAAGATTGACGCCAAAAACCAAAAGGAATCTATCTCTACTCAAGGTTCGGCATCAGATGATGCAGCTGCTTCTATGACTAAAGTTTCGGAATTTCTGTCAACGTCTGTGGTACAGGCTTCAGAAGCTGAGCCGTTGAACGTCTGTCCTGAGACGCGTTCCGTGGACACACAGACATCAAAGGATGCCAGCCTCACGAGTGACACTGATAGTAGCCCGGATGAGAAAGGAGAGACATCGAAGATGAGAGACAATCAAGGATGTCAACCTGGAACAGAGTCCAAGCAGGTTCAAACGCCGTGGGTACATAAAATGTAAGATATTGCTCTTCCATATCACATTCTAGTCTAGTGGTATGTATGTATGTTTCTATGTATGTATGTATGTATGTATGTATGTATGTATGTATGTGTGTGTGTGTGTGTGTGTGTGTGTGTGTGTGTGTGTGTGTGTGTGTGTGTGTGTGTCTGTGTGTGTGTGTGTGTGTCTGTGTGTTTGTGTTTATGTGTGCGTATGTGTCTGTGTGTCTGTGTGTGTGTGTGTGTGTCTGTGTGTGTGTGTCTGTGTGTTTGTGTTTATGTGTGCGTGCGTTCGTGCGTGCGTGTGTGTATGTATGCATGCATGTATGTGCAGGCAAGTCGGATATACCGAACTCAAATTCGGTCAACCAGTCAAATTCTGTATTAAAAATATCCACCGAAACAGATTCTATTCAAAAAGACAAAATGATGGTGAAAGAAAAATCAGCGATGACCCCAGGTGTTTCCGAAAAGGGTTATCATTTCCCGCCCAACGGTGATAGAGATAGTGATTCATGAACGCATTCTTATGATATATTCAGCAATATCTTATGGTATTTTCAGCATTTATCAGAATCATATTGCATTGTGTCCGTGTTTACTGCTGATATAACCACTCTTGTGAATAGCCATTAATTATTTAATGCCCTTCCTTCTAATGGAATCTTCCCACCTGTAAGTTAGTATCGATCGTAGCCTGCATCTCCACCAGCGCTAAGGTGCTGTTGGTATACTGGCCTGTCTGCTTTATTCATTATCTTACGAATGGACTAAGGTGAGAGACGTTTGATGGTCAACTGACCGCCATTAAACAACCTTGTTGATACAGTATTCTAGCATCTGGCTTTTGGGTATAAGTTTAGTTACGCGTGCATTCTTCTCTCAAGCTCACCAACACTGTAGCTTATGAATGACTGTTTTAGGTGAACAGCCGTTATGTATCTACAAACGTGCTGACCTTTACAATATCAAGGCAACAGAAGCCAGAACGTCACACATCATGAATTATCAACATGCCCAATTACAGGATGTTACGTGGTAAGGGGTTAGGCTGAAGGTTGTTAGGCTCTTGTTCCTTTACTGTTCTTCTCTCCTCCACCAGACGTGAGACACATGACATCTTCATTGATGACGACGATCTCAGCTGTCCAAACTCCCCCGTCAACACTCGGCTCAGCATCAGTGCCGGGTCTGGAGAAACATCCAAGTTCATCTTTCCCGAGACGCTGACTATACATAAGGTAGGATGCGGTTAAGATCTATTTACCAACAGCACATTAACGTGAGTGAGTGAGTGAATGTGGTTTTACGCTGCTTTTAGCAATATTCCAGCAATATCACGGCGGGCGACACCAGAAATGGCTTCACACATTGTACCCATGTGGGGAATCGAACCCAGGTCTTCGGCGTGACGAGCGAACGTTTTACCCACTAGGCTGCCCCACCGCCCCCATTAATCTGATCTGGCCATCGTGGTGGGTGAGTGAGTGAATGAATGTACGTTAGCGTGTTTGTTTCTTTGTTTAACACCGCACTCAGCAATATTCCGGCTTTATGATGGCGGTATGTAAATAATCGTGTTCGGACCAGACTACCCAGTGATTGGCATCATAAGAATCGATCTATGCCATTGGGATAGGATGACATACGTCAACCAAGTCAGCTAGCCTGATCACCCGATCCCGTTAGTCGCCTCTTACAAGCTTGGGTTTCCATATAACCCGGTTCTTCTCAGGTCCCAATGTAAAATAAAATAAAATAGTTAACATAAAATGTTTCTAGCTGTGTCAGCACCATACCAGTGCTCAATACCCCTCATGGGTTTCACCACTGTGGTAAACATCTGAGACCTGCATCACTTTAGGCTTTCTTCTCACATTAAACTGACATGCTGGGATGTGACCGAAACGGCGTTAACCCCAAGTCACTCATTCACTATCACATCACTATAAGAATAGTATGTAAATCAATCCGACCAGGCAAACTAATAGTTGGTGGAATCGAGAAGTTTGTCACATAATCAACCAGGTCATGATCCCACATACTAATCCCCATGTATCCAGTTGAGTCATCCACTTACCACTAGCATACTGCACTGGAGACCAGCAGAACAGTTTTTAATAAAAAGTTAAACAAGATGGCATAAAGTACACTTTAGTTCAAATTATTTGGGAACATGTCTCTGGACACAGTCTGTTCATGGTGTACATATAGGTACCTTTATGCTTGATACATAAAATGACAATGGCAAATTTGATATTAGAAGTTGACGGATGACAAAGTAGAAACAATCGTTTGAACTGTATAGGCGGCCGTTGTCCACGGTAAAGGGAGCTATACTAAAACAGTTAATAAGAATTTGTTATCCATAAATTGTGTCTATTTTGCCTTTATAGTGAAAATAGTCATTAGACATGTATTCTGTCATCAGCTCCCTCATAGAGCCTGAAGATAATGATTATCGTTATGTTCTTTTGAAGGAGCTTTAATTGTACTTAAGACTTTGAAAATCTTTTTTATAATCGCCTTTCGTATATTTTTTTCTTTCGTCGCCAAACACTTTACTACATTACAGGTGTGCATACCGTGAAGCACCAGCATGTCATATGTATGGTTATTCCTTTAAAATTATCTTTTGATAAGACTAGTCTCATGTATTCTATTATTTCGTCTTAAACCTTTCTTCACCAATTCCTGTTTCAGCGTGAAGAGGAAGCCAGGCGTGCCCAGGCCCAGCAGCTGATGGTGGAGGCGGTGCAGCAGAGGAGGAACCTGACAGAACACGCCGAACAGGACCTTAACTCTCCCTCCATCAGTTCGCTGGAGTCTGACAGTGACGTGACCATCAACTCAGATCAGCTTTCTCTGGAAGACGATAGTCTAGAGGACGCCATTCTAGCTCTGGGTCCGTTACAAATAGCCCAACAAACGGAGATGACAACAACGTGGAGTAGGAAATCTAGTGGCGTTACATACGTTGGTAGTGAATCTGGTGAATCATCTAAAGAATACAGGCAGATTTATCCCGCACAAGGCTGTGTTATAGACGCCGATCATGTTGTGGAATCATCGCAGCCTGAACCGAGGACTAGTGCACACAAGTACACTCACGATAGTTCATCGAAACACTCACACGCAGCACATATAGAACAGGAAGCAATATCTGAAGAGGAAGAAGCTGTGAGGAAGACAGAGGAGACCACACAACGAGCTCAACAACTTCTGAATCAGACTCATGCACTTGGATTCGCTCTTGCCCCAATTGGGGAAGCGCAATCAGACTTTACTTCGGCTTTGATGGAACGTATAAGGGAAGAAGTAAAGAACTCTGGGACATCTGTTTCTGGTTCCAAGCCTTCTAGTTCAAAGAATCCTGAAATGCCTGTTCCGCGACCTCGTATGGGTCATTCAGGAGGTTCCTCTGGCAAACACAAGCATGATTACCCAAAGCCATCAGAGCCACCCGTACCACGTGGTCCAGGTTCCTCTCGGGCTGCTCCCAGATCTTCCAGAGCACGAACTAGTGACAGCACGGCAGCATTGTTGGAACGTGTGAGGGGGGAGCTTCAAAGATTGGACTCTTCACAGTCGGACAGTGACTCCGAAGCAGCTGACGATGTGCCTTCAAAGATGCCGAAGCATCAAACCCGTCGCTTATAGTGCCATCCTTACTCGCAAGATGGTGTCCATTACGCAGTCTTTCAATTCATCTGTATATATTCATTTAAATGTGTGTCATGTTTTCCGGATCAGTGTATACAGAATAATCATATTCCGTTGCCATGACAATCAGACTTGATATAAAAGGAAAAAATGGACCTTTGTGTGACTTATGTGTGTTTTTTAACATTTCCTTTGATGAATCATATTCTGTCTTTCTGAAGTGGTCATTTTATGTATGGGCTACCAGGCCGGTTACATTCCCGATACAAATGTTGGACAATGGGGAATAGTACAGTGCGTGTTGGCCATTGTCACGTTAAAGAATGCATGTCTCGCGTAACAGTGACTGGTGATAAATGAACTCTGAATTAATGAACACGTTCCGAATTATGTTCGGTGATGATGTGTGTGAATAAGGTGTGATGGTGTTCTCGTTCAAGTGGCAAGTCAAGCAACTATACTGACCGAAAGCTGATGTGTGACGTTGCAGTGTATTACTACTAATATATATATACTTTATAAGGTACAAGGTCGACATTATGCGGTTATTACAACCAAACAGGGTCTCTTAAAGTGCCAACAAAAAATCTATCTGTTTTCATATTGCATTGAGACAGTGTATCAAGTGTTACATCTCGGCTTCATGCAAAGAACGAAACACTTCCAGTTACCTGAAGCCACTGCCATATGCCTATTGTTGCTGCTCTTATAACACGTATACACATGACCAGAGCTTTAACATTATTTATCAACAAGCCGTAACAGGGCTGTAGACCTGCAAAGCTGTAAACCTGACGTGTTGTTTCCGGTTGGAAAGGACCACTTAGAAACTTGACCAATGAAATACATTGTGTGATAAATAAATATATTATATTACGTTGTAAATAACATATCTTGTGTGATAAACATGAATTATTTATTTTGTCACAAATGCATTTGATAAAGAACAATAAACTATTTTTCGAAATGACTTTGGTCTTGGGTTTATGATTCACTTCTTTGCTTCATTTTTTGAGCTCCGAATCCCAGATTCGCTCCGTGTATTAGCCTTTCATTAGCCTGCATATTTCACAGGACGGTGGCATGATCGATATTTCCATTATCTGTACATGCGCATGTTAGCAGGTCTGAATTTTGACTGGTCAGTTAAAGCGATAGGATATTTCTTCATTGTTGAGAAACAGTACCATATGACGACACTGGTTGTTCTTGTAAAAAAATGATAACATTCTGCCATCTGAACAACAGGCTAACTTAGTCCGAGTGTGTAGATTTGTTCTTACGTCAGATGTGTAATATACAGAATAACCTGCTCGATACTGGAGTGTCCGGTTTATCTGTCACGCGTGAATAAAAACCACAAAAGCCGTTTCTATAAGCAGAGTCCATTGTAAGATTCCGACTATACCATGAGCATGTATTTATGAATCACTATAACATAGAACTGATACCAGGTGAACGTATCCTGCCCCACCGGTGGCAACCGCCACAAACACATGCAAAGTCAAGTCCATTGCGGGGCAGTGATGCGAGATCACTTAATAAAGTGAAGGGCAAAAGAAAGTATACCGAATTTTCTAACTGACAATTGAAAGAACTGTTGTTAAATGTCATTATGTATATTTAACCATCACGCATCCCTGCAACAGTTTGTAAAAAGTAATTTGTGGCTGGAAAATTGTGTGTAAACATGAATTGGTTCAATGAAGACTGGGGAAAGAAATGAACTTGCAACAACATGATCCCTACCAGGTTTGAAATGTTGTAAATGTGTGCCAAAAAAGTCATAGTGACTGATTTTCAAAGATAATAATATATCTAAGATACCCATCAGCAAATGTGCATTATGCGGAAAGAAAATTAAAAGTTAAACTTCAAATTATATTCTAAAAATTAAAACAATGTAGAAGTATTCTTTAAGTGCTGACTGAGCGCCAGTGATCGTTCATGTCTTGGATATAATATGCCTAACTTAAGATATTTTCAGGACCGCCTCCTTGGTCTAGTGGTAGAGCGTCCGCCCGGAGAGCGAAAGGTCCGGGGTTCGATTCCCGGCCACGTCATACCAAAAGACGTTAAAAGATGGTACTTGTTGTTACCCTGTCTGGCGCTCGGCATTAAGGGGCTAAATCAAGGACTGGTCGGCTCGGAGTCAGTATACTGTGTCTGAGTGGGGTATTCATGTTAAACTGCGGCATGGTATCTCAGTGAGCTGGCACTATAAATCGGCATCAGTCCAAACAGCCACACACACACACGTACATGCACGTCGCTATATGGGTGCAATAATCTTGGACGCGACGTTAAACCCCGTTTCACCTCACCTCACCTAAGATATTTTCAATTGAAAATGATTTTCTTTTGCTCCTAAGTTTATGAACTACATGCCTCATAAACTGCCGTGCAAAAGAAAGCATACACCCATGTTTAGTAGTGGCTAAAAGTGAAACAAACAAGCAATGGCTGCCCCATAGTGATGTATTTGATACGGGTGTCATAGGCGATATTACATGTATCATATCAATGAGTAACAGGTGACGTGCACATGGACGTCTCAATGAGTGAGTGAGTGAGTGAGTATGGTTTTACGCCGCTTTTAGCAATATTCCAGCAATATCACGGCGGGGGACACCAGAAATGGGCTTCACACATTGTACCCATGTCGGGAATCGAACCCGGGTCTTCGGCGTGACGAGCGAACGCTTTAACCACTAGGCTACCCGACCGCCCCGACGTCTCAATGAACAAAGGGTCGCAATTTCACAGTACACAGTTATGAGCAGAATGAAGTGTGAATTTTCAAGTGTATTCATTGTGTTGCTAGCCAGTGTAGTTTTTTTCGGGAAAAGGGTTGCAACAGTTTGATGTGTACATGTATCTGTCAAGAGCGAGGAGCTGATAATTCTTTAGTTGGAAATGGCAAAAATATCCATGTCAAAAATTAAAAAATATAAAAATGTTGAGTTTGATTGATACTATTCTTATTTCGAACTTTTAAAAAATGATTTTTTCAGAAAATCCGTAAATATAAAGAAGTTTAAACAGCAAACATTTCCCAAGATTACGCGTCCATCTTCTACATATTCAGTGTTTAACATCACATTGCCCTGGTTCAGTGTTCACACGAACACCCACTGGTTTAATGTGATCCGAGCATTTGTTACAGACATCAACTTGACATGGAGAAGAGAAAAATAGTTCGTTCATGTCTCACACAATGTACATTTACATTTAAAAACATCTATATAATCATTGGTTATAAAACAGGTGTTACAATTACAATGCCCAGCCATAATATGGGTAGCCCAGTGGTTAAAGCGTTCGCTCGTCACGCCGAAGACCCGGGTTCGATTCCCGATATGGTCACATTATGCAAAAGCCCATTTTTCGGTATCCCCAGTCGGGTATGGCTGGAATTTTACTAAAGGCGACGTAATATCATACTCAAGCACTCAACAATAAAATTTAAGGTCCTAACTACCGACCCGTGAAGATTCCGGGGTAGAATAGGTCTTCAGCAACCCATGCTTGCCGTAAAAGGCGACTATGCTTGTCGTAAAAGGCGACTAACGGGATCGGGTGGTCAGGCTCGCTGACTTGGTTGATGCATGTCATCGTTTCCCAATTGCGTGGATCGATGCTCATGATATTTATCACTGTATTGTCTGGTCCAGACTCGATTATTTACAGACCGCCGGGATATTGCTGGGTGCGGCGTTAAACAACAAACCAACCAACCAACCAACCGAACTACCGCCCTTGTATTAAAATGCGTTACTTCATTCAGAGTTAGAATATTGACGGTAATTACTGAAGCGCCATTACAAAGACACATTAAAAAAAAGAAACGCATACACAAGCATTAGGATATAAGGAAGGACAAGATTTGTTTATATAAATATACAACGTCAACGCCAGAGAATAACCAGTCTCGATTAGTTGACGAAACGGATTCCACTGGGTATAAAAGACAAACCAGCGGGGAAAATTATATAAATGGAAGATTATACAGGTACTGAAAAATTTACAACACGAGTTCCATTTGTGCTACTTTAAACCCAATTTCATACCTCTCTTCGTTAGAGTCGGATTAGACTAACGTTTATCATTTTGAACGAAACAAATAATTCCATTTAACTGAAAAGGAGCCCCAGTCAGATGGAAGATTCAGAACCTGAGGAAGATCTAGACTTGCTTCATTTAGGTCTTTTGCATAACATTGTTTGTTTGTTGGTTGTTTAACGCCGCACTCGGCAATATTTCGGCTATATGACGGCGGTCTGTAAATAATCGAGTCTGAACCAGACAATCCAGTGATTGGCATCATGAGCATCGATCAACGCAACTGGGATCGATGACATGCTTCAACCAAGTCAGCTAGTCTGACCACCCGATCCCTTTAGTCACCTTTCACGGCAAGCCTGGGTTGCTAAAGACCTATTCTTCCAAAAACTTCACGGGTCTTTTGGCTTAACAAAAAGGGCTTGGCGGAAGGGCAAATAATATGGTTCAGGGACTGTGAGACTGCATGACGACTGTCGAATGGACGTTTGATATTAAGGGCTGTCAATAGGGTATACGGAGTTATCTCCCTTCGACAGTCAGATTCTGATCTGTGGTTAAGCTTCATGTAGGATTGTTTCCGGTGATCTTTTTTCAGGTATTGATAACAGGATCTCCCAACAAGTGTCGCAAAATTTAGAAAGAAGAAAGGTAGTACGCACCTTTAAAAGAAATCTCTCCTTATTCAGTCATGAATTCATTTTTTAAGTTGGGTTTTAGTAAGGTGTTATACATAATAAGACACCTCGGCCTGCATCACTTGACGCGGTCTGACGGCCAATGCAATATACAGTTGATCCTGGTAAAGAATACATACAAGGAACCGATCACTAATATCCACCCACTGGGCAGCTGTGTGCTTCGCGTGTTTTGAGCTGGAAAACAAAATATTGGATAATAGGGATTGGTTGATTTGTTATTTCTTACACGTAAAGTCGTTTTTGACTGCTCATTCGGTTGTATTTCGTGCACAGGGATGCGAGCTTGGTATATGATTATTCTTTTCCCCTCTGTACCGACTCAAAGTAATACTTAAATCGGATAAGTTTTTGCTCACGAAATTGTGGACCAATATTTCAAAATATTTGAGCTAAATTACATGTAATGTTGATTACATTGCAAAGTAGTATATCCAGAGTTTTGTTTTTGTTTTGTTATAGTTCCCAGAATTGTAGATTAATACAGCATTCCGTCAAAGACATATTTTGAATTGCATAGAATCGCACAAAACACTCTTTGAAAAATTAAAGGGTTTGAAACAAACACTGTCCTATTTCAAACCAAAACGGTTGCAACACACAATCAGACTCAAAATATCATGTATCAACAGAGAGCTATGAATCAAATGCTGAGAATACAGGTGACCTTTTTTTGTTAGAGTTATTTTTGTCATCCTTTTTTATAGCAATAAATTTCTCGATTGAATCTATGTTTTTTAATAGTTTTAAAAGTATATCTAATTTCGGTTTGGTTTCTTTAATTCCACTCACGTGAATATGTCTTTTTCCCATTAAAACTAAATGATATCCAGGGTTGATGTAATATGTTCGAACATGATCAGTGGGAAATCCCAAATACATGTACCTTGTAGTTATTTGGAAATTATATATTTATAAAGTACAGTCGAAAAATATCGATCCTGCTTATTCCTGCTGATTTCCTCGCATCAAACATAGAACATGTAGTACAGTCCCATTTTTGAGGCCAGGGAATAAGGCGGGACAGTTTTCATTTTCGACTGTACTTATAATAAATAATTTCCAAACAAACACACACAAACACACTCGCTCACGCATGCACGCGTGCACGTGTGTCCCACGTATAGTTTTTAAAATATTATAGAAGTCACTGAGTGAATCTCTGGAAAAGCACATATTAGCGTTTATATTTTAACATGTTTACAACTCATTCACGCTGTCACTATTGGAAGCGGCACTAAAATCCTGTTGAAGTTGTGGACCTCGTTTTGACAGCGCGCACTCACCAGCTGCTCACTTCCGGCAAAATGGCGACTATTTACATGAGCGACAGCGTGACAACGAAATAATGTTGAATGAATGACATCTGCCAGAGAGACTGCTAAAGTATTTACAGGTAACAGAGGAGTCGCGGAACGTGCGGTTATGTAGGAATGAGAACATGTAATTTCAAAAGACACATAGCGACTGCATTGATCAATACAAAATTATCTTGCGTCGCGGGGCAATTTTTCTTCTTCACAGTACTCAAAAGCCATGACATGATTTGACATCAATACGGCCTGGACTACTATCTGATTCTTGCTTTAGACTAACAGGTTAGCAAACATAATTCCGAATTTTCCATACATTTCTTCAACTCATGCGAGGTTGAGAGGATGACTTTAGATGTAGGCTTGACATGGGACGAGATGGACATTTAGATACCAGTTTAATTAGCCGAGAGGGGCGATTGGGTCCGACAACCAAGACATGACTGTCAGACCCCATCGCGGCTCACGGGTACAATTTAATTGGTGTTGCCGAGATCGACCGGTCCGAAAGTCATGTCTTGACCGTCGGACTCCATTGCGGCTCTCGCATACACTCTGCGGAACCCAAGAGCATGGCTGACAAGCTGCTGACAAACAAGGGGTATAATCAGGAAGATATGAATCCCTGATAGCTGATCCTAGCCCCAAAAAGGGATGCAACCCTTCACAGCAACTTGCAGCATCCTCAACACAGGACTACCGTTAATTGTTTGTAAATATTCAAAGAAAGGGTAACTACAGTAAACTACGTTTGTAACGAATACACTTAAGACGAACTGACAGATATAAGGAACTATTATTTGATCCTGTTCACTTGCTGTTTATATTCCATACATTTGGTTTTACAGAGCTATGGTTATAACAAATTAAAATTAGTGATGCCTTTGAGTTCGTTATAACTGTAGTATACTGTATATTCATCTTGTGAACACTGACAGGGCTCAGGAGTCATTTTATCTTGACAATATCTAATGTTTGTGGTTGTCACTTTGTCACATAGAAACATTGTAAAAATGCAGGTAGTGCACATGTACTCCGGAGCTGGGAGCTATAAATAGATTCAAGCCATTTCAGCCCTGTTTGGGTGTTTAAGGCAGATAGAATTGTTGGAATAGAACATTGGAATGGCAATAACTTAATTGTGTGTTGTCACAAACGATCGATAATCACTGGGCGGTCCGGGATGGTTAATTAGTAGGACTGTCCAAAAACAATCTGTTGAGCTTTCGAGCATCATGGCTATATCTAACCTAGTGCTGTTTGTGTTTGGAAAACGAAAAGGCGTACAATTTTATATTTCCTTATAACATGTATAAAACTCAATGCTTATGAATAATTTTCAGGAAATCAAGTGATATCACAGAAGGAGTAGAAGATTGATCAGTCAAGATGTCGTCTAAAACGGTATGGTTTAATGCTTCAGGGATTGGTTATTTATTACAAGAGGTGGGGTTTGGGTCAAAGGTTTTTATGCTCTAATGTTCTGAAAATAATGACCCTCCTCTAATGCTTGTCATAATCTTGAATGATTTTCCGTCGTACATCTTTTTCATGACCCTTCCCAAATCTGTGTAGTATTTATTATGAGCCTCCATGAGAGACTGATTCCCTCTTACTAATATGTTACTAATGTTATGGCTTTTCAGAAGTAACCTGTATTTCACTAATAGTGGGACCAATGAATCGGAACCGGGTTAGAATAAGTCTACAGCAACCCATGCTTGTCGTAAGAGGCCACTATGTTTGTCGTAAGAGGCCACTATGCTTGTCGTAAGAGGCCACTATGCTTGTCGTAAGAGGCGACTAACGGCATCGGGTGGTCAGGTTCGCTGACTTGGTTGATGCATGTCATCGTATTCCAGTTGTGTAGCTCGATGCTCATGATGTCAATCACTGGATTGTCTGGTCCAGACTGGATTATTTACAGATCGCCGTCATATAGATGGGATATTGCTAAGTGTGGCAAACACACAAAACAAAACCAATAAATAAGTAAAAGTTTTCATGCTTAGTTTTATATTATTGCAAAAATATCAGTATAAAATGTTAAAATACATCTGAAATTTAGAAAATATGTAGTTTAAAATATCCAAATTTTGACATATTTTTTTCACAATTTGCCTGCAAGGGACACTTAATTTAGAATCCTAGATAAGTCCCTGGTCAGAGTTCATCAGTGTATTTCCCAAACTACATGGGATGCAGCCATTTTGTTCCCTGAATTATTCCATTCTGTTATATACTCTCTCTATGTGTTGGTAGCATCCAGTACTCATACTACAGGGAGCAGTCATTGTGCAATATCGCAATAGTCAAGTCACAGAGCATCCTTTTAAACTGCTCTGATGTAACCTGCATCATTGCATGGAAGCAGACTTGGCGTTTAGTATTCTCTCGCCAAGGAGAAGATATTTCTGCAATAATAATGAAAATCTCTCTCTGTACCAATAATGGTGCCAAGCCCCTATTGGTACACCGGATGCCAAGCTCTGTTAATGGTATTCCCCAGCACAAGAAGGCTGGATGCCATGAAATGTTTATATGGTATGCGAATGCCAATATTTCAATGTTGAAGTTTAGTTTTCATCTTTTTTCTTGCAGCATGTGCAAAGGATAACAAATCAAAACAATATTTAGCCCTAAGCTTACAAGCATGCATGGCCATGCATTCTGGGTATGTGAAAATCCCAGTCTAGTTTACTCATACAGTAAAATATGTTTTTAACGAACATACTTATAACGAAATGACTGATATTACGAACTTATTTCTTGGTCGTGGCCATTTCCTGTATATAGTCTATATATGCTTTTAATGAACTATGGTTATTACAAGACCTGTGAGGATCCGGGGTAGAATAGGTCTTCAGCAACACATGCTTGCCGTAAAAGGCATCTATGCTTGTTGTATAAGGCGAGTAACGGGATTGGGTGGTCATGCTCGCTGACTTGGTTGATGCACGTCATCATATATTGTGTGGATCGATGATCATGATGTCAATCACTGGATTGTCTGGTCCAGACTCGATTATTTACAGACCGCCGTCATATAGCTGGAATATTGCTGAGTGCGCCGTTAAACAAGAAAGAAAGAAACAAAACGGTTATTACAAACTAAAATTAGTGGCCCCTTGGAGTTCGTTATAACCGTAGTATACTGTATATTCCTCTTGTGAACACTGACAGGGCTTAGGAGTTCCTAAAATGGATGCCAAGACAAATCAAGCGATATTCCGGATTCCTAGAGGTGGGGGTTGGCACCCTCAATAAATCAGTTTTCTGGCAAATGATTCATTTTGACATTTGCCTTGTAACTTTTGTTATGATTAATAAAGGATGTTAGTACTAATTTAATATACTGATAACTTTTGTTATCATGTAGGAACTAAGAAGGATGTAAGTACTACTTTTCTTTTCAGTATGATCCCCGTAAATTTGAGTTTGTGGCAAGGATGGGTCGAATTGTTGTGCCAAACCAGAATTCCAAGACACAAGAGCCGATCCCTGTGACATTCCGCATCCCTGAGCCCCCACAACAGGAACTGGTGGTAGGTAACACTCTTAGAACTCTTTGTAGAATGATCTCATTGTCATCTCATGTCATACCGGAGATCACATCAAAGACACACTAAAGTCATTAAACACCTGGATGGAACGATTCACCAATATTGATGCGTCCAGCCCTCATTATCCAGTGTTTTAAATCTCCATTTGATAAGGATAAATATACCTGGACCCAATCACCAAGCTTTGTTTTTAGTTTGGTCTAAGTGACCAGTGATGGCATTTTCTGACATGTCTTCTGATCATTATTATTACTGTTGTTTTTAAAAATCTTTTTTGTGTATTTATAATAATAATAATAATAATAATAATAATAATAATTATTGTTATTATTAAGTTAGTTTAATATTTAGAAAGGGTAACTTCACTTCTGCAACAACAAAGTAATTAATTTCTTCTAATGTTTTTCCAGCAAGATGTTCTCCTTGGCCGGAACATGAGGGCAGCTCCCTTTGGGAAACCCATTGACGTGTCCATTAATCTGGATGACTTTATACAAGATGTGAGTAAAAACCTTAACTAAATGCAAACATTGTAGATATCACGGATTGGCATGGATCCATCGTCTGGATTCTGGGTTAGAAACGGTCCCCAGCAACCTTGGTAGTCGTAATGGGGTACCATTTGGATGGGGTGGTCAGGCTTGGTTACTTGGATGACGGCGTGTCATCGTACCCCGATGGTGTGGATCATTGTTCACAATGTCAATCACTGGAATATTTCCAGCACTAAACAATGACATTGTCATGGTTGTTCAGATAGTTGTAAGGTGGATATTTCTGGAATTGAATTTTGTGGATTCTCACCTTAGATTATTATTGTTCTGAACATTAATTGAATGCATTGTTAGACAACAAACAAAGAAGAATCATCATGATCATCATGATTTGATTTCAGCTTCCACGTCATAGATGCAGCCTTGAGGACAATGTACATGTAGGTTCGGTAGAATAAGGAGCTTGTGTACTCTTTGTCACATGGCTTGCATGTATATACAGCTTTGTGCAGAATTAACAAAAATACTGCTTTATGCAAAATTTATAAATATACCCCTTTATGCAGTATTAACATATATGCTGCTTTATGCAGAATTTATTAATATGTCGCTTTATACAGAATTAACAAATATGACGTTTTATATGAAATTAATAAATATACCGCTTTATGCAGAATTAACAAAATATATGTCGCTTTATACAGAATTAACAAATATGCTGCTTAATTAAAAATGAATAAATATACCGCTTTTTGCAAAATTACCCTATTTTCTTGAGTATAGTGAGCACTTTTTTTTCTAAAGGGACAGGTGTGTAGAAGGGGTGCACATTATACACGCCATAATGAGTTTTGATGGGTTTTTTCCCCCCCAATCAAAGAAATTACAGTAACTCTGGAAATACCATGTCAAATAGATCTGTACTGAAGTACGCAAATTGATCATGTCATTACACTGTCTGGTTGTAAAAAGTATTCATTGTGTATCTGGACTTTGCAACCTATTGAATCAAATTTTATTTAAAATTTCATTGTTTGCATTAATCTCGGCGAAATCGTGTGTGAAGTGATCGATAGATTGCACACCTCAGCGATATTTACAGCAATCACACTCAGATTACTGCTATTGATGCCTTAAAACGAACTTTAGTTGACACAGAATAGACACACATATCATAAATGCCATACTTGGACTTGTTAAAAGTCATATTTGTTGTAGTTTGACTAATATATGTCAACATAAAGAATGTGAGCCTCAGTGATGATTCCATATGTAAACAATATCTGGCAATAGCAACCACTTATGGTTATTATCATTTTTAATATTTATAGTAAAGCTGCAACTAAAATAACACAAATTCCTACCATGCATTTCTTCCTCCTTCTTTCGATCCTTATGTGGAAACGTGCTTGAACAAGGTTTCCAGCTTCTAAAAACATGTCACCCGAACACAAGCATCACCATGGTCATCACCCAAGCAGATGCGTCACACACTGTAATCCCGTGCATAGCAACCTACAAGATGTGATCACATGACTACCCCTGCCAAATCCTTCTCTTTCTCATTGGGGGGCACGGGTGGCCAAGTCGTCTAAGGGGCTGTGATTTGCTGTGCAGAGTTGTGTCCCTTGGGCACGCCAGAAACCTATGATTGTGGGTTAGAATCCCGGTTCGCCCCGATTATGTTTCTAGGTTGTCAGCACCATACCCTGCTCGTGGGTTTCACTAGTACTGAAGTTGTAAACTTCTGAGACCTGCATCACTTGGGGCTTTCCTCCAACATTAAGCTGACACGCTGTGATATAACTGGAATACTGTTAAAAGCGGTGTTCCGTCCGTCCGTCCATCCAAACACTTTATCGCGATTTCTCTTAAACTATTTAGTGGATTCATCTCAAACTTAGTACATATAATCTGTGTTATATGGAGGGGTGCAGTCAAAAGAAAAAAAATGTTTTTATGAATTTTCCATTTTTTAATGAATTTTTCAAACCCTAACCCTATCCATTATTTAATTTGAAACTACTGAAACACTAGGCGGGTTGGGGGGATTAGTGAGCCATGCTCACTTTTGCCCTTGTTTACTTTAATCTGAAAACTTGTCTCTTCAGGATGATGGCTCGACAAGAAAAACGATGCTTAAGGAAATGATGGAGAGTCGAGCAAGGATCCAAAAGAAACGAGAAGCACAAATGCATGCCCAACAGCTGGTGAATGAAGCTCTGCTACAGAGCGAGTTGAGGGCGTCAAGGAAGCGTGAAGACATGTTGCAGAATATCATGACCAAACTTGACGAAGGGGAAAACAGATCCGGGGCGAACCTGAATAATGCCGAAATATTTGAGGAGGGTACACCACCGGAACTGAAGGAGTACATTCAGGAAGAACTTCAACGTCTTGTTCCTATTTTCAAAGAAGGTGAAACATAGAATTTCTTGTTTATCAATGGATTTGGAGTCCAGTAGCCATTAGGACCATGTTCCTGGTATGTAGTGTATTTGACATTGCAGGTTAGAGAACTAGGGGGGAATGATCAGCCAAAGATCAGATGATGCAGTGATGATACAAGCTATATATATATATACATCAGAGCACGGGTTACATGGTATGAAAATATATTGTAAGATACTATCCGATGTCTGTGCAAATTTTCAAGCCATTATGTGATATATTCAACTTATAAGATGTGTCTTGTGTTTGGGCCTCTGTCCTATTGATAATGGAATATGGCTTTTGACATGGCTAGTGTCAAATATGGTATTGTGTATGATACAACAAATTTAGTGTTGAGGCACATATAACGCAACGAAATATAGCAATACTCCCCTGCAGGCAACCGGAGAAGAAACATGTTTTCCCTTGTACAACATTCCGAAAATAATCCTTCCACTCAGGATTCATTATCAGCTTCAACTCCAGGGATTGGTTAAGGTGAAGAAAGGGCAGATAACATAGTTGATTTGATATAGAAATTACTATACCGTATTCGACGTAATAAGCGCCTGAAATGTTTATGTACGACAGATATATTTTTCCAGAATTTAATTGCCCATAATTAAGTGTGCATATAACACATGAGTGCGTATTATACGCAAATATATAAGTCTTGTGTACATTGATCAATCGGAAGGGGTGCTAATTAGGATTGTTCACTGGCCAATATATTAGCAAATATCGCCGTGGGTGCTTATTAGAGCGGGGCGCTTATTACGACAAATCTACATGTTTTAGCGTAGGTATGAATAATAGAGAATTGATCAATGATGTTTCCACATACTGGGTTATTCTAGAGTTCAACTGTTTGCCAGTTTGAGAGACTCGGTCTTACTCTTCAATGGTCCAAGAGAAAGTGTTTGTTTCGTCCCTATTGTATTTATCTGTAGCAATGGTACCTAGTGCAATAGGTACCAGTAGTATATGTTAGACCGCTCACCAGTATATGCCTATACTATATCGTGTATATCAAATACTTTACTATGTGAATATTATTAATAAACATGCTGAACGAGTGGGAATATTTGTGCTTTCCAACAGGAATTTGTACTAGCCCCGGGCTAGCGGGCTAGTGTTAATTTCTAACCCTGTTACACAAAAATAAACAGATAGCAATTTTTTATGTGTGCGAAAATTTGGGAATTGACAATAAGGAAAGAATGAACCATTCTCAAAATTAACATTTTTGTACTTTAAACCCTAGTAACCATGATTTGCCAAACAACATCCATTATTTGATGTTGGGAACATGGGTATGTCATTATTATTTATGTATTGTACCTGTATCGCATGGAATGTCCAGCACGTTCACCACAATGAAATACTTGTCATGCTGTCAACCCACATTTACCGTGGATTAGTAAACTTGGATATCCACTTTTTGTACTTGTATAGGTAGTCTGTGTGTTAGTGATACATATGAGTTTTGTCCAGCTTCCATTTACATATTTTGAGAAGATAAAACTTTTCCTTCATGAAGCCCACCTTACATGTTCCTTGGCTGTAATATAGTGATGTCATCTTTAATCCCAGTATTGATGTATTGAGACACTTGTGCACACAGTCGGTGTGACAATACTGGGGTGTCCTGATGAGACACTTGTGCACACAGTCGGTGTGACAATACTAGGGTGTCCTGATTCATCCCAGTATTGATGTATTGAGACACTTGTGCCCGAAATCGGTGTGACAATACTAGGGTGTCCTGATTCATCCCAGTATTGATGTATTGAGACACTTGTGCCCACAATCGGTGTGACAATACTAGGGTGTCCTGATTCATCCCAGTATTGATGTACTGAGATGCAGTATTGATGTATTGAGACACTACATATGTAACACTACAATATATGATCATCATTGTGCCTGGAGATTCCTCAACAGACTCGGACACATCATGTGATGCCTTCAATGTCAACTGATCAGTTCATGTCTGAGCTGATTGTCAGTCTGTGTAATTATGTAATCCACAGCAGGGATTGTTGTTCATCCAGTGAATTGTTAGGTCTAGGTTTGATTTCATACAGGATGCTTAGTTTGCTCCTTGGTAGCTAAATTTTAATAACTTATTAGGATGTTCAGTCAGGCTGGCTCAGAATCTGCCTGTCTGTGGATTCCACTTAAATTTAAAAATAATAAATTATTCATTCAGGTCTCTGTGTGAAAACAGTTCAATAGTTGTAAGTCCTCAGTGTGTGCTCAGCAACCGCTCGAGGGGAGTGAGGGATGGGAAATATTGATGATGATTGATTTCATATTTTGCCTTAGGGTTTACTGACTATACGCCTTATATGGAAATATCACTTTAAGGAGATTCCTGTAACCGTCTTGTTCAATGTGTCCACAGAAATGTCACTGAGTTCAGGATATTGTCTGTGGATTGTAACCATTGCTACCCTATATTGTAACTGCATGTCTTTCTCGGATGTACTTTTTTTACATCCTATGTATGATAAATAACGATTTTGCTTTTGCAAGTTATACTCTGTTTTGTGACGAAGAATTGCATTTTTCAATTTGCTACCCTCCACTTACATCTTACATGTTTAATGAGGTGAATAATTGTCCTGCCTTTGCTTGTGTTACATTCTGTTAGAGTGTGTTACATTCAACAGTTACATTGTTTATGTGATAACATTTTATTTCTGCTTTTATAGTTTTTAGTCATGAGGGGGGCACGGGTGGCCCAGTCATCTAAGGTGCCGCGATTTGCCTTAGGCACGCCAGAAAGCGATGATTGTGGGTTCGAATCCCGGTTCGCCCCGATTATGTTTCTAGGTTTGTCAGCACCACACCCGTGCTCGTGGGTTTCACCAAAGTGGTAAACGTCTGAGACCTGCATCTCTTCGGGCTTTCCTCCCACATTAAGCTGACACGCCCTGATATAACTGGAAAACTGTTAAAAGAGTTAAACCCAACTCACTCACTCACTCATAGTTTTTGGTCATGAGGGTCTTTATTTACATACTTCAGTGTGAAAGACTGAGTTTGCCAAAGTTGAGAAAAGTGATATTTTCATTGCAGTGAACATGACAATTGATATTTCACTGCTGTGAATGTAACGCTTTGATGGAACTATTGTCATACAATAGTGACCTCCCCTCAAATTGTCTCCTTTTATCGTAAGTGCCTGGCCCGTTCACAAACTGTTGACTTCCTTTTTGTTTTAGTTCCACATTGATAAGGCAAAATATTGACAGATGGCCATTTCTGGAGTTGATATTGCTTCATGGCGTTTGTTATTCTCTTGAAAATGTTATAAACTGTAAATTTCTCACTTAACTCGTCAATAGAGACCATTTGTTTCGCAAAGCGCCATTTTTGTTAATTGACCAGTGTGTATTATTTCGCTTCCAACATTGGTCTTGAAGTTTTCAAGAATATTTTTTGTTCAAGTTGATTTTGTATATAATCATATCTAAATGTATGATAAAGAATTTTCCCGACCCTAAATATCTTTTTTTACTTTTGTTTTTTACGAAACTATTTTTTAGTCGCAAATACAAGGGGTGCTGACCCGTCCCTGTGTGTTTGGTAGGGAGGATTAACATTTCAAGGTTTTTCATTTTTCATTAATGAAATAATTTAATTTTTATGTAGACCACGGTAGAGGAGATATTTGCAGTCATGGCTATGCCACTCATGTAAATATCTCCTTTCCCCCTGTCACTCGATGAGAGAAACATGATATTTCACTCGACACATGGAATATCCTCTATGTATTTGTCATTGCTTGATGGATGATTTGGCAAATGACCTTGTTTTTATAATATTATTTAAATTTAAAATTTATCATGGCTATTGAACTCTTCTATTTTCTTTGGAAATATGAATTTTAGCTGATGAAAATATGGACATGTATGTCTCAAATGACAGGGAACGTTATCATTATGTGTATCTGTTGGCGTAAACACACGGACATACTGTTTGTAGTATGTTTGTTTGACATTGAGGACAAGAAAAATGAATTTTGTTATTTTTTATTCTGTTCATTGGCTGAATGTAGGAGAACTGTAGCATGTAGTGAACATGACTTAGTCTTTCACTCAACAACTCAGTTGTCGACACTTGTGCCTTGATGGATATTGATGTATTGATATTTACATGAGCAGATAAGTTATGTTCTATAAGGTTTACCTCCTCCAAATTCCTAAAGTGTCCTATACGTCCTGTGAGTCCCTTCTGAGAAAGAGAGCCAATTAAAATGCTGTATTTTTCAAATGTGTCATTAATATCCTATATTTGGGAATTTGTTTTATAAATCTTTTGATATAGGGATGTTTCTACTTAAACCCAAATCTCTGAAACCATTCAATGATGACTTCATGATAACTTGTAAAAGTTACTTTAGAGTACGTAGTGTTTGTTGCCACTGGATAAAGATGCTTCTTGTTCAAATGACATTACTTAAATCGGATGTGGATGTGACTCTCGGACAATAATATATCTTTTGTCTGTTTTTATCATGAACCTTATTATGATGTTTTTGTTTGTAAAGTGGCAATGCATAGCAGCATACTGATGCACTAATGATAAAGAAACTAGAAACTGCTTGTTAATGTGTACTGGTACATGTGATGTAGAATCTCCACACACTGATATATCTATACCTATGAACACAGAGAAATCAGTGCCATGTACTGCTGAAGAGTCCTTCATGCACAGGCTGGACTCTGTTGGGATATCTGGGGTCATATTACAGATAGGCCACACCTTTTTCATTTTATGCTTCATGTACTTCTTCCAGCTTTTCCACAAAAGTTTGGTCAAAATAAAAATATAAATAATGTCAATCATTTATTCATTTCTATGAAAGTCATTTTGCTGTGTAGTTAAAACTGCAGGTGGCCTCTTGTATCACTGATGGTGGTGTAGACATCGAATTTATATGGAACATTTTTTATTATATAAGAGGGTCTATCATTACCAGTGGGACACATCATAAAAATATATATTTTTATGTTTAATTTATATCTTAGTCCGGCTGTTTTTCAGTAGGGGCGGCATGCCTGTGAAACGAAAAATATAAAATGTGTGGACTTATGACTATTCTGTTTTCAGCACATACATATGCTGGGGTATTACTGTTCTGTATAAAGTGGATGTTTTTGCACTGCACATGTTACTAATTATAATGATATTCTGATTTCTTACTTCATTATTGTTTTATAGAAATGAAAGAAGTTAATTTTAAGATTCAAGGATTATTTTTATTACATTTACTTTCTTAACCTTATTGATGATGTCTTTGTTTTTATTTATGGTTATTGTTCTCTGCTAGTAATGCTTGGATAAAAAGAAAAAAATATTATTACAAATTGGTGTCTGAATATGAGAATAGTATCAATAAGGTGTGAGAAAACATAAATTAATGTCTATTGAGTGTTGAGTGGAACACACAAACAAGTATTCTCTTATGTCCCAGTAGGATATTTCTATGTTAGATATTTGTAAATCCTACTGTATGAATATTACAAGAAAATGTTTACAGCTGGTTACTTTTGGCATTTTGGTTTTCTAATCCATCCAAAATGGAACATGAATTTGAATCCTTGCCATTTTTGTATTGGTCTGTGGCCGATCATTAAACATAACTCGAAGACTTGCCTGATTTTAAGTGATGCCAAATTTGTCTCTGTATTGTTATGTCAGGAGATGTTATTAATTCTTTTGATTAATAAGAAAAAGTTACAGTTTCATGGAAACTCATGACCCATACAGTTTCCTGTTTTTAGAAAAACAGAAGGAAATATTGAAATAAGAAAACTGATGACTGATATTAAAAAAATGTCCACGACGTCCAAAATGTTCAGTCATGTTCTGAATGTTGTAATATTCTCTTATATTATTTATAACATAATACCACACACTTCATACGCTATTATGACGGCGGTCGGGTAGCCTAGTGGTTAAAGCGTTCGCTCGTCACACAGATGACCCGGGTTCGGTTCCCGACATGGGTACAATGTGTGAAGCCCATTTCTGGCCTCCCCGCCGTGATATTGCTAGAATATTGCTAAAAGTGGCGTAAAACCATACTCACTCACTCACTCGTACATTATTATTGTTGAGAAACAGTGAATTCATGTAGTTTGATACTGGAGTGTGTGTTTAGGAGTTAGAATGTTCGATTATTACAACAGATAAGCATTACTGTGATAAATTTCTCGCATAATATGTCACATATATTTTATTTTAATATATTCTGTTTATGTTGTTGTATATATCCATATCAATAAAAGCACTATTGTTATTATTTAAGAAATCAAAGTGCTATGGTATGTATGTGTTGAGTAATGTAAATGTGTACCAGATGTTTTTAGATTTCAGAATGAAGGAATATTCATAAACTTGTTTCAAATCACTTACATTTTGAAATAAAACTCAGATCAGAAAGTTTCTATGAACAAGAAGGTAATAAAACTTATACTTGCATGAAACTTTTCACATGAATATATGTTTTGAAATACTTTTTACCACTATGAAACTCAATCTCTGTTAATAAAATTTTGTGGACTCATTGTTTTGCCTATGTTTGTAAACATACATATATGTACATGCATTAATTCAGGTTAATCACTTTGTCACCTTAATGTACTGAAATGACCATCTTCACTTCTTACAACAAGCATGGGTTGCTGAAGACCAATTCTAACTGGATCTTCACAGGGGGGACTGGGGATTAGATAAGCAGACACACTTGGTCCACTTGGCTTATTCCGTTATGTATTCAGGTCCACTTGGCTTATTCCGTTATGTATTCAGGTCCTCTTGGCTTATTCTGTTAATCATTCAGGTCCACTTGGCTTATTCCGTTATGTATTCAGGTCCACTTGGCTTATTCCGTTATGTATTCAGGTCCTCTTGGCTTATTCTGTTAATCATTCAGGTCCACTTGGCTTATTCCGTTATGTATTCAGGTCCTCTTGGCTTATTCTGTTAATCATTCAGGTCCACTTGGCTTATTCTGTTATGTATTCAGGTCCACTTGGCTTATTCTGTTAATCATTCAGGTCCACTTGGCTTATTCCATTATGTATTCAGGTCCATTTGGCTTATTCTGTTAATCATTCAGGTCCACGTGGCTTATTCCATTATGTATTCAGGTCCATTTGGCTTATTCTGTTAATCATTCAGGTCCACTTGGCTTATTCCATTATGTATTCAGGTCCATTTGGCTTATTCTGTTAATCATTCAGGTCCACTTGGCTTATTCCGTTATGTATTCAGGTCCACTTGGCTTATTCCGTTATGTATTCAGGTCCATTTGGCTTATTCTGTTAATCATTCAGGTCCACTTGGCTTATTCCATTATGTATTCAGGTCCACTTGGCTTATTCCGTTATGTATTCAGGTCCACTTGGCTTATTCTGTTAATCATTCAGGTCCACTTGGCTTATTCCCTTATGTATTCAGGTCCACTTGGCTTATTCTGTTAATCATTCAGGTCCACTTGGCTTATTCCATTATGTATTCAGGTCCATTTGGCTTATTCTGTTAATCATTCACGTCCACTTGGCTTATTCCATTATGTATTCAGGTCCATTTGGCTTATTCCCTTAATCATTCAGGTTATTCCAAGTTCAGATCTACATATCTCCCTTTCTTGTATAATGACCATCAATCAGAAATGTTAATGATAAATGTTATCAACTCACCAAATAAAC